TTTTTGGCAAAAGCAGAAAGAAGACTGAATAATTAAACATTTGACTATAAACAATTCAAGTAAGTAGTTAATAAAGGTACTGATCTGTTAATGGATTTCTATAAATCGATGGGAAGTAATTTCAAATGGTTATATCTTTCTTATAACAGCAACATGAATTCCACTTGCTCTTCCATTACACTCAATCCCTCAAGGAGCTCATCTATTAATAATTGTAAATTAAACCTCTACAGATCACTCCTTACCTATACTTTCAGGCCCAAAATGTCCTGAGTATCAGATCAATCTCAAATTCAACAGACACAAAACTGGACTCATCTTTCCCCCAAATAAGATTTTGCTGTACTTGCCAGTCATCATGAATATCTTAGATTTCATCATAACTCCTTTTTCTGTATTATCAGCCATTAAGATTCTTTTCCTTTATGGTATCCTGCCTGGCTGCTCATTTTCAAGGGTCACCATGCTGGTACAGGTGATGGGCAGACACCTCAATGCCTCACGCTTGGGCTATGGCCACAGGCTGCTGAATGCCTTCATTTCTCTTTCTCATCCAATCTGTCTGCTACCCTATGGCCTACTTAATTCCTGAAAGTCCGAACTCCTATGTCTTCTTCTTCTTCTTTTTTTTTTTTTGAGTTGGAGTCTCACTCTGTCGCCCGGACTGGAGTGCAGTGGCCGCTCCCAGCCACCGCAGCCTTGCCTGCTGGGCTCCGGCGATCCTTCCTCCTCAGCCTTCCGAGTAGCCAGAATTACAGGCATGCGCTACCATGCCCGGCTGATTTTTTTTTTTTTTTTATTTATTGTAGAGATGAGGTCTCGCTGCCCAGGTGGGTCTCGAACCTGCGGCTCAGGCAATCCACTCACCTCAGTCTCCCAAAGGCGCGGGATTACAGGCTGAGCCATCGAGCCCGGCCTTATGTCTTCTTATATGCTCAAATTTTTATTATTTTCCAGTACAAACATTGCAATACTATTAGCACCTGAGGTTAAGAGTTCCACTATAATGTTTCTATCCCACTCTCATTTTTAGTTAAAGAAAGCAAAGATACACTGTCAAGCGGCTGGGCTACAGAAAAACAGATAAATTCAACTCTGAAATATGGCCTCATATGCTCAACCCAAGCCCCATGCCAGGATCTCTTCTGCTGTCTGAGATTCAACACCCTAGTCCCTGCTTCATGTCAGGAACTGTGCACAACATTATAATACTAGCTGGATTGTGAGGGGGCAATCTTCAGTTATATTTTGATAATTTGGGAAGGCATATAATTTACAAGTAAGTGGAAAATGCATAAAGTTAAGTGGTTCCTATCACTAGAGGGACTAAAACAGACGCTGGATACACATTATGGGGGCTTCAAAAAGGAGACTCAAGCATTAGGTGAGTTGGATAGGTGGATTCCAATAACCATTAAGGTTCTTTTAATTGTGGCAATCTAGATTTCTATAAATATTATCAAGACATACTTGATTAAATTTACACATGCATGGCATAATCTCTACATCTTATGCAACCTGAAATCTAAAGGTAAAGAAGCAGAAAAGGAAAATTATTTCTTTTTGGATAAAGGCTTTAGGCAGGAAAAAAAAGGGCATTTGCTTAGAGATGTCAAGTTGTTGCTTATCTACGCAACAAGTGGTTTCCAACATGTACCTATCTGGCAAATTGGCCCTCAACAAAGATCTTTTTTGAATTTCAAAATAATTTCTGATTACCTTCTCACCTCCATTAAAGTTTTATTTTCATTATCTGTTTATTTTCAGAATATGTTTTAAGAGTCCAGGATTTCTTACATGAGCACTACCCTGCTAGTGTCTCTGGGGGTTGGGGAGGTAGGATGGCCATTATTTCAAAAATTGGAAATCTCTAGTCCAATTACTAGTCAATGTAGGGCCACAGAATAATAGAAACTTAATTTTCATTTATATTTTTGAATTAGCATCACATTTTCCTATTTATACTACCAGGAACAAGGGAGCCAATGGTGTATGATTGAGTCTCCCCTTTACGATGGCTTATTCATGTGACACTGGGATACTGCAGGTGGAGGTCCATGGTGATGATGAAAATAAGCAAAGAAGGATCCTCCCTAATCTCTACCACACACTTACTCCCTCCCCTCCAATTGATTTAAGGGATCTTCTCCACATACTAACATAATTGCCGCTTGTAAGTGCTTATTTAATTTTCCACTTCATTATAGGATCTTAAAGAAACCATTTCTTGTTTCAAATGCAAAATATGAATTGTAACTTGATTAAATATTTATTAATAATTCAAAATCAAGAGAAAATTTTATATGATGTATCATTTATTATGTATAAAAATAGAAAAATTATTTTTTAAAGTACTATCTTTTAGCATATTATGGATATGTGTATTATTGCTCTTTTACTCATAAACTCTACTTAGCTCAGTATACTACTGTTTACTGGTTCTGCAAATAGCATAAAGTCTTTGAAGTATCTATGTTCATAAGGGGAAGAAAACATTCATTTTTATCAATTAAAAAAAGTCTGCTACAAACAAACCAAAAACACTATGACTCCATAGTGACACATTTAAGAATTCCCAAGCCATCCCACTCTCCTCCTTCAGGGAGGTACACGAAAAAATGAGGACTTACTACTGTTCAGGGTTCAGAGGCCTAAATATCTCCTTGAGATCAGCATCTTCTCTTCTTCAATGCAGAACTCCAATTAAATGCACAACACGGAAAGTTGCAGAACTACCCAAGTATTTCACTGCACATGACTAACAGTTTGCATTTGTATGGAAAACCCTCCCATTCTCAGATATGAACATCTTATCCTCCACCACCAACTGGAGCCAAGCTATCAATGAAGTGAAATTAGTGCTAAAAAGTAATAATTATACACTGCAGTGGCTGCTGGATAGCATTTAGAAGTTATAACTGACCTGATTTTGAATCCTGGCTCTCCTACTTACTAGCTCTATGACTTTGGGCTACTTAAACAATTCTGGGCCTGAGATCTCTTATCTTTGATAATAACAGTAGTTACTTCAAATGGTTTCTGTAAGGATTATATAATATATGCAAGCTGGGTGTGATGGCTCATGCCTATAATCCTAGCACTTTGGGAGGCCGAGGTGAGAGGATTCAAGACCAGCCTGGGCAACTTGGCAAGACCTCATCTCTACCATAAATCCAAAAATTAGCCAGGCGTGGTGGCGCGTGCCTGCAGCTACTTGGAAGGCTGAGGTGGAAGGATCACCTGAACCCAGCAGGTCAAGGCTGCGGTGACCATGTGTGGCCAGCCTGGGTGACAGAGTGAGACTCCAACTCAAAAAAACAATACAGGCAAAACAGTACAGCACCATGCTTTCAGTAAATGTTAACTATTTTTACTATCATTGCTGTAAGTTGGGAGCAGAACTCTAAAGCAGTTTGTTTGTTTTTTTTGGTTTGGAGTCTCACTCCATCACCCAGGCTGGAGTGCAGTGGTACGCTCCCGGCCACCCCAGCGTCGACCTGCTGGGCTTTGGCGATCCTTCCGCCTCAGCCCTCCAAGTAGCTAGAGCGCTGCCATGTCTGGCTAATTTTTGACTTTTATTGTTGAGATGAGGTCTCGCCAAATTGCCCGGGCTGGTCTCGAACCCGCAGGCTCAGGCAATCCACTTGCCTTGGCCTCCCAAAGTTGGAGGATTACAGACTGAGCTACCGATCCCGTCCTAAAGTAGTTCTGAAGACTATCACAAGGCAAAGGGTTTACTAACTGCAGCCTCCCTTCTGACACCTTTAATTTCTACAGTAGGCTGTTGTATCAGTGGATCTGTGCTGTCCAATAACAGTGGCCTCTAGCCATAGGTGGATACTGAACACTTGCAAACTATGCCTCGTAGGAATTAAGATGCACTGTATGTATAAAAAACACACCAGATTTTGGAGACTTAATATGCAAAAAATATAAAAATCACAATTTTAAACATTTGATTAAGTGTTGCAGTGGTAATAATTGGTATTAAATGAAATATACAACTAAAATTAATTTCATACGTTTCTTTTCACTTTTTTAATTTGGTTACCAGAACATTTAAAATTACATAAGGGGCTCACATTCTTTTTTTCTTTTTTCTTTGAATTGGCGTCTCAACTCTGTCGCCCAGACTGGAGTGCAGTGGCCGCTCCTGGCCACCGCAGCCTCGACCTGCTGTGCTCAGGTGGTCCTTCCACCTCAGCCTTTCAAGTAGCTGGGACCACCATGTCTGCCTACTTTTTTTGTAGAGAGGAGGTCTTGCCAAGTTGCCCAGGCTGGTCTCGAATCTCTGGACTCAGGCAATCCTCTTGCCCTGGCCTCCCAAAATGCTGGGATTACAGGTTTGAGTCACCGTGCCCGGCCTTTGCAATCCATTTGTATTAGACAGAGCTGAGGAAGAATCTGGCTATTCAAAACATGGACAACAGCACCAGGAAGCCTGTTAGAAATGTAGATTCTCAGGCCCAGGCCCAGACTCCAGAATCAGGATTTTCACTTTATCACGATCCTGATAGAGCTTAATGAAGAGGGCAGATATGGCCCTAATGCCACATACATGTTAATACCTTTGCTTTAGGTAATTGCTTTCCGTAAAAGGAAAGTGTCTGGGGAAGAAAGAAGTGGTTGAGGGGACTAGAGAAAGAAAAAGAAACTCAAATTATAGGAACAAAAAAAAGCATAGGGAAGGCACGGGGGCGCGGATCCAATTTGGGAGATTAAGTGTAAGGAAACTTCCAGACCTTTGCCTCTATAAAAAGCGGAGGGAGATGCAAACTGCGATAAAACCTGAAAAGGGCCGGGAAATTGTCCATCAAATCTAGTCTTACCCGCCCCTCCATGGCTTCGGCTAAGGTAGGCCTGGGCCCGAACGGGTCTCAGGCTGGGGTGCGGCGCGAACCACCATCCTTCCCAGGGCTGGACGGTTCCGTGAGCCGTCTCTCGAACGCTGGCCTCAACTCCGGTTTCCCAGGACACACAACGCGTTTCCCCGGGCTCACCTGCCTCTGAACTGCCCCAACGGCCTGCGCCTTCGCCACCGCTGCCTTCAAGTCCTTCCGCAGAGAGCCCGCCCTCTTGCGCCCAGGCGCTACTCCCACTGGCCAGGCCGCTCGTCACTCCTGCAGGGCGGGGTCGGACTACAGGAGTCTGTAGAGAACGCCGTAGCAACCCATCTCGGAACGAGAACTACACCTCCCGGCATGCTCCCCTCAGGGGGTGGAGGACACCCCAGAGGCTACGAAAAAATGGGCGAAGTTGGAGCCGCCTGGACTGGTTCCGTTTTATGCAAATTTTAAAGACCACACCCTTCCTCATTCCAACAGTATCCCTTTCCACCTTCCTTGGGCTGTGCTCCGCCTCCATTTTCATCTCCACATGATTTCTCTCCTTTAAAATCTTCCGTAACTTCGTTGAATGCCTCCTATTTAGTGTCATGCAACGGAGAGAGGCACCGAAATTGTGAGACAAAATCGCCACAAACCACGATTGGGAGACCTCAGACCAGAAACCTCCGCTTACGCCTTCGCGGGGGGAGAAGGGGAAAAGAGTCCTACTCCCGCCCCCTCCGAGTCTGCCGATTGGCTGATTCGGCTGTCACTCCGTCCTCTTTCATTTCTTTGGGTTCCCCTCTTTAATTCCCGTGGTGGGCGTGGCCTAGAGGTAGGGGGCGGTGAGGAGGTGCGGGTTCCTTCTTCCGATAGGCAGGTTTTTTGTCCACACCTACTTGTGGGCGGAGACGGCGGGGTGGATGGGGCGGGAGAAGCCTCCGAGGGAGATGAGGAGATAGGCGGGAGCGAGGGAGTAAGGGAGGGAGCGAAGGAGGTAGAGAGGAGCGGAGGAGCGAGGGGAGGGAGTGCAGCTTGGTTGCTCCGTAGTACGGAGGCCCGCGAGGAAGGATCCTGAGCGGGCTCCGAGACTGACGGAGAGGCGGGCGGGCGGGCGGGGATGGTGTGCAGGGCTGCGGCTCTTGCGTCCCTCCCCGCGGCGTGTGAGCTGCACTGATTTGTCCCTGGGGCGGCAGCAGGGACCCG